TAGAAAAGGGATGTCTTAAAATCGCACAAAAAATTAAAAATACTCGATAATGGACCAGGCGAGAAAATAACAAAAATAATGAACAACCATATACCAGAGACATTTTGCGGGGGTGGAGTGGGGAATGGGATCAAAAACGGGGGTGGGGGGGAGAAGACGTGCACGGGATTATGGTGATGGCACACGGGTGATTTGGTGATGGGAAACCCGCGGGGATTACAATCGAGATGGAAAAAAAAAATGTACAAAATGATGTAAAAATAAACTTATGTAATAAAAAAAATTCAAAATACTCGATTGTATTATGGATAGATTGTATTATGGATAGTATTATGGATAGTTTCTCATAAAATGTATTCTTTTTAAGAAAATAAAATTTGGGGCCCTCCTTGGTGGCACAGTGGGTTAAAGCACAGCTCTCAGAAGCTAAAACCACTTCAGCATGACTTCAATCCCTGCCTGCCCCAGAGGTGACCCACACGGCGCGGCAGACCTCTCCTGACCGCCCGCTGCTCCCCTCAGCAGTGTACTCTGTCAGTCGGTCTGTTCTGCTCCCCACTCTGTCTCTGGCGAATCCTCTCACCACCCCTGCACCTCTGGCCTGTACCCCAGTTCTGTATGCATAGGTAAATAAATCTTTTTAAAAAAAGAAAAAGAAAAGAAAATTTGATAGTTAATTTGTTAATATGCTTTGCTCTTTTTTTGTTTTTTCCCCAAATGTGCTCATTGTGCTTCTTGTAGCTAGGCTTTTAGCCCTTTGAATAATTTAGTTAAACTTGATTTTGTTACTGAAAGTAACTATTTCAAATAGTTTATTTCTGTGATTTATATTTTATAATTCTTTATAAGTTATAAATTCTTTAGTGGTTTATAAAGCTTATTTTGGTCAATCCTTTGCATTTGGTACCTTTAGATACATTGTCTGCTTAATCTTCCCTACAATGCTATGGAAAGAAACAATGGTATCTAATCTCCTGTCTTTCATATGAAGAAAATGAGGCTCAAAGAAGATGTCTTTCTTTTATTTATAACAAATATTTCTTGAACTGCTGTATTCCAAGTGTTCGTGTTACTGTAATTAAAAAGATATAAAATCAGAGATCCAAGAAATCAAACTAACTGAGGTTCATATATACAACAATTTGATTCCAAGATACCTGTTGTATTCAACATTTCTCATTGAGTGTTGAGGATTTAGAGACTCTCAAATAGTGATTAAAAAAATACTGCGGGCCCTCCCTGGTGGCGCAGCGGGCTAAAGCACAGTACTAAGAAGCTAAAGCCACTTCCGCATGAGTTCGATTCCCGCCTGCCCCGGAGGTGA